GTTTTATTGGAATTCCACGTGAAAGACCAACACAAAGTGGTGCACACGTGAGAAGTGGAACGAAAATCATACATGATTCCAAACATTTTTTACAAATAAATAACTGCAAAGTGGGGTGTGCGTAATTATTCAGCCCCCTGAGTCAATACTTTGTAGAACCACCTTTTGCTGCAGTTCAGCTGCCAGTCTTTTAGGGTCTGTCTCTACCAGCTTTGCACATCTACAGACTGAAATCTTTGCCCATTCTTCTTTGCAAAAGCTCCAGCTCAGTCAGATTAGATGCAGCGTTTGTGAACAGCAGTTTTCAGATCTTGCCACAGATTCTCGATTGGATTTAGATCTGGACTTTGACTGGGCCATTCTAACACATGGATATGTTTTGTTTTAAACCATTCCATTGTTGCCCTGGCTTTATGTTTAGGGTCGTTGTCCTGCTGGAAGGTGAACCTCCGCCCCAGTCTCAAGTCTTTTGCAGACTCCAAGAGGTTTTCTTCCAAGATTGCCCTGTATTTGGCTCCATCCATCTTCCCATCAACTCTGACCAGCTTCCCTGTCCCTGCTGAAGAGAAGCACCCCCAGAGCATGATGCTGCCACCACCATATTTGACAGTGGGGATGGTGTGTTCAGAGTGATGTGCAGTGTTAGTTTTCCGCCACACATAGCGTTTTGCATTTTCATCGACCAGAGCAGCTTCTTCCACATGTTTGCTGTGTCCCCCACATGGCTTGTGGCAAACTGCAAATGGGACTTCTTCTGGTTTCCTGCTAACAATGGCTTTCTTCTTGCCACTCTTCCATAAAAGCTACTTGAGAGTGTGGTGGAGCTCTCTCTAGGGATGGGTACTGGTATCCTGTGCCATGATGGCACCGGTTCTGACATAAACGGTAGTAACCAGACCGAAAAGCAGCGCACATTTCGTTGCTTTTTTTCCCTGAGATGTCATATACTTTGGATTCCAGCCAATCATTTTACCTTTGCAAATAGTAGGCGGGCCCAGGTACGTACGTTCTTTTAGAGCAGAGCTACAGATTAAAAATGCCCAAGCGAAGCGGTCAAAAGTCTGGCTGTACTTCACAGCAAAAGATGCAAACTCAGCAGCCTGCAACAAGTGCTTTAAGCTGATACTGTGATACTGTCAAAGGAGGTAACACCTCGAATCTGATGAAACACCTGGCGACGTAGCGTAGCGCCGTATTTGATAGCTTGCTGCGAGACCTCACACCGAGCACATCTACTGCGGGTGTGGTGCCTGTTATCGGACCCGGAGTTAGCAACATCCCCCAAAAACACGAAGAGGAGAGTCCTGGCCCCTAGCCCTGCCAGTGTAGCAGAAATGATGAGGATGATGATGCAGCAGCAGCCGTTCTTCTCTGCGTGAGTAGCTTAATGTTGTTCGTGTGTAATTTACGTTGAGTAGGCTAACCACGTTATTACATTAATGCATGTAAGGTGAACTAGCAAACACCGTCGTAGTTACATGCGGCTGTCTTCTTGTTTGATGGCAGATACTCCCTTCACCCTGGCCAAAAAGGCTAAAATGACCAAAGAAAAAGTGGAAAACAGTTTCAAAACTACCGGTTTGGTACTGGTATCGGATAAAACCTAAACGATACCCATCTCTAGCTCTCTCCGATGCTGGATCATTGCATGGCTTCATGTTAGTCTCTTGACTAGTTATCCAGTGCAGTCTGCTGCATTGTGGTGTGTCTGACTGCTGCCTCTCTGTTATTTTCCAGGAGAAGCGTGGAGACGAGAGGGCAGGCACAGGGTGCTCAGACACTGAAGTGGGGACAAAGAACACTAACACTGGGAAGAGGAGACGTCACGGGAGTCGGGAATGCACTGAGGATTTATTGTTATGTTTTTCCATTCACTGTAAATAAACGCACTGCTTATACACAGAGCTCCGCGCCTGGGTCCTCCTTCCTCACATCCCCACGGTTGACCATCGTCAACCGTAACACAAGGACTTGTGTCAGGCTTTGTTTCTCTCCTGTGTTCCACATGTCACGTCTAGTCACCCTTGTCTCTATGTTCACGCATCAGTCCTGCATTTGGGTTCACACCCATCCTGCCACAGCACTCTACATGACCATAGCTGCACTGGCCATCGGGCATACTGGGCATTTGCCCGGTGGGCCGCTGGCGATTTTTTGTTTTTATGGGCCGATGATTTTTTTTTTTTTTAGGAAGGGTATATATAATGAAAGGTGTTGGATTGGCCAATTGGTCATGATCGACTCTGGGCTGGACCAATTACAGCCGAGGAGGCCGGATGCACCCTCCCCCTTGTTTAGCAATCACGTGATTTTCGCGCATTGCATGCCGGGAACTCGTGGCAAAACAATCCAAGTACCGCATCAAATGCAAGCATTTGCAGCACCGCAAAACGTTCATTCTCCGGTTCCAATACCTTCTTGTTTTTTTGCCGCACAAAAAAGGAATGTACAAAACAAAAGGAGAACAATGCCGGTCCGTACAAAGACAGACTCGACGAAAAGACAAAGAAAAGATACGAGGAAAAAATCAAAGGAGTGAAAGGGTCAGACCACACAGAGTGGACAAAAGACGTTAGCGTGCTGCCCAACTTTCACCACGCTCATATTTATAATTATACGGTTCTTGGAGTGAGTGCATACACTCATGAAGTTTAGTAACTTCAGGTCACTGCAACAAGCCCAGGTACAGTTTACCGACGGATGGGTGCAGGACCTTGAAACGCACCGTGTAGAACGAAAGACCATCGTACGTATCATAAGTTTACCAGTCTCACAAATCGTCGTCATAAATACACATTCGTTAACCGTTTATTAATAGGACCTTTGAGCTCAACGGTAATTAATTAGTAGTGGAAATAATTTCTGGTAGCATCACAGAAATGTAGCAGTGACAATAATATTGTATGCTGTAATCGCACTGGACAATTAGTGATACAAAACAACTGTTTTATCCTGTGAATAAAAGTATATGTTTTTGTCAATGTACCATAATAACAGAAGTGAAACGCAATATTGTGTCAGGACAATTCACTATTTATGCACAATAAACAAAGGAGCATAGCGCGACAATTTCTGTTCAGCGCCAGACTTGCTTGTAACCTATATCACCAATTATGTTAAGAAAAATGACGTATTAACTACTACAAAACTCTGACCTTTGTGGGAATGCTTGGAGCAGACTAACATGTGAGCTGGAGTGTTCTGGGACGTTATATTTGGTATATCCAGACCATCCGTCGGCTCTTACTTCGGAAACATGGCTTAAAAAATTTCTCTTCAACGACGTAATCCGATAAAAAAAAAAAACGATCTCTTTACCCGTCGGCTTCCCGTGGCTGTCATGCGACCGGCTATTGCAGTTAATAATACAACAGCTTCTTGCCATTTTTTGGGTTTCTTTTTATCGCTGTGTAACTGAGTTCAATTGAAAGCCTGCGTGCGGTTTTACCCCTGAATGACGTCACATTTTCAATCTTTATCCTGGTGGGCCAGTCTCTAGTCAAAATGCCCGGGCCGATTTTTTGTCCCAGTCCAGCCTTGTACATGACACATGCATATCTCTGGTCCTGTGACACACCCACACACAGCATGCCAAGGGAAAAGGTAGGAATAAAGAAAGAACTGACAGATGACAAGGCAGGGTAAGTAGAACTGAAACTAAGCACAAGAGACAGGAAGCTACCAAAATAAAACAGTAAATAACTGTCACGGTTTGCCGGGGCAAGCCGTGTGGAGGTGGAGAAAGGACCCAAAAGGCGGCAGCTCTGGTGCAGGTGAGTGTTTATTTACAGCAGTGGGTACAAACAGCAACGGGGTGTGAACATGAAACCGAAAACCTAAACTGGGTAAACTAACAACACAAACCAGGAATGACGGTGCAGGGAGATCCGGGGAAATACACATGAAGAGACGCAGGGAGACCGAGGGGAAACAACACAGACGAACCAGCGATTACTAAGACAGAAAATACAACTTAAATACACTCAGAGAACACAGGGAGATTACACACAGGTGGGAACAGCTGGGAGTGATTAACATGCACTGAAAAAAATGCAATAGGGTGGTTGTTGAATCTGCATAGAATTACTTCATATATCCAGCATGACTAATTTAAATTTCACATCTAAACATATTTTTGTCTTTTAATTTTCACATATTCTTTAAGAATATTCATTCTTTTAGAACAAATCATGTTGAAAAGAAACAAGTTAGTCGTGTTTTATCCTCAAGCTCCGCCCCCTGGAAAGGAAAAATCGGCTGCACTGTCCGCCATTTTTGTCTCTCGCTTTGGAAAATCTACTACCATCTGGAGTTTTACACTTGAAGGTAAATAAGATTTTAAAGCTAACACACCAGTGAGAAAGAGTGTAGACCCTTTATATATGTGGACTTTTACTGGGTGTTGTTATTTTACAGGTATGTGGGCTGTTTATCGAAAACCATGAAAGGCCAATGTTAGCTAGCTCCAGTTAGCTAATGGTAACCGAAATTATGCGATAAGCAAATTAGTAATTAACATATATAATGTGAGTTAATATTGTTTGTATATTCTTTCAGTCTAAATTAACAGACTATTACAAACTTGCATCAGTGTCTGTAGTAAGTGGTGGTACCTGCAGTGTCTTAACCATTAAACAAGCTAATGTAGGGCTGGGATATGACTAGTTTGTTGAAACATGTCTGCTGCCAATGTGACTGCTCACACACGGTAACATTACCAGCACATAGCCACAGCCGCTATAAACATGCTGAAAGGTCAATCTAGCTTCTGTAGTCAGCAGCTGGAAGACTCAACACAGACCCAAGATTCAGTGTAACGGTTATCTAAATGTTGTGTGTCCTGTTTGTAAGCCCAGAAAAAGAAATTAAATAAAATGACGACCTTGAGCTTCAAGCTAATGTAAGCGTAATGCTATAGCATAAAGCGACTAATGCAATGATGAGGTTGTTAAATTAGTAAAAATACAGTAAATATATCCAACATGAATCATTTATCTTTTTGGTCTAAACATAATTAAGTCTCACGCCTTTCACTTGTTTTAGAAGGATGTTCAGTCTTTTAAAACCAGTCATATCAAAATAACAGAAAATAGTTATGTTTTCTGTTGAAACTCCACCCCCCAGGGTGTGTTCTGCGAGGGAAAATTCACTGTGGCGGTCCGCCATTTTTTGTCTTCGCTTCGTTTACATTTGGTGCTGAGCTTTACTTTGTCGAGGTAAACTGAAAACTACATGTTTGAGAGGAAATGAAGAGAACATCCATTATATGGGGAAAAAACAAGTCATTCCTTAAGTTAACTAACGATAATGCTAGCTTAAGCTGCGGGACAATATTATGTGCATTAGCTTTTTTTCAGTGTGTGCCCAGTCACATTCGCTTGTTTTTTCTCAGTGAATACAGACTAACAAACTTGTGTCCATTTAGTTAACTGGTTGTACCTACAATGTTTTAGTTAAACAGTTAAATAAGCTAGTTTGCCATGGGGTGGGCTCTGTGTGTGTGTTGGGGGGGTGAAGATTTGCATATGTTATCTCACATTCTGTAAGGTAAATTTTCTGGAAAGGTCAAATTAACTAATTTAACTAAGTATTAATGAAAGACCTTGATGTGTATATGACAATAATAGATGTAGTTTCTGGGTCATTTGGCAGAACTGCAAAATGGCCAGAAGGAGGCAACTGCTGTGGTTGCAAACAGGCTTTGGGTGGTATGGAAGTAAGGGCAACTATGGAACTGCTCAGCAACATGGGACCCATAGCTAATAAATAGTAATATGACAAAAAATAACAACTTTGTGTGGATGTAACCTTGTGAGATTTGAGATTTTGACAGCATTTTTATGTGACAACTTCTCTTTTTAGATAAATGCAGAGTTTAAGCGCATTACCACCATGCCACTGCAGTCCAGATTACTCTCGCAGATAGATGTGCTATCTGACAAACTAATAAAGGTCTTCAAAAGGCGAGGAGGACAAATAGGAAGAAGACTGCAGAACATTCTGGAGCCCACGGCCCAGGTAAGAAAAAAATTAATTTGTGTATACACTTTAGGGAAAATAATAATTTTAACAAAATGCTGCTTGTCACTCTATGCCAGGAGTATGTTGAAAATCACCTGGGATTTTCACAATTTACCATGGGTGCGTTTTTTTTTTCTTCTTTTACCTGCATTAGAACTATGTGTGGAGTTCATAGTTGAACACCTCTCTATGCTCTGACAGTATTCTGCTTCTTTGCATGGAGATTTCACTTCATGCATTACCTTTTTAAGCATTCTGAGGACTCAAATCACATGCTGTAATGAATCCATTTTTGTTCACCTAATGTGTTAATGTTAACATTTTTTGGAATAGTGACACAGATTGAAATAAGATTTGGTATAATGTTCTTTGACCAGTGTTCTGTTTAATTAAATTTTGGAATTCTGCATTTTCTAGGCCACAGATGAAGCCATTATCCAACGATCTAATAAGGAAACAACCATGGGAATTTACATCATAAAGTCAAGAGATGCCAATGGCAGCCCTGAGGACATCGGGATAGTCCTTGAAGGCCAGAGAGTCTGGCAGGATTTGGATAACTATACCCTAGCAGCTGCAATGCTGTTTGGACTAATGTACACTTTGAACCTCACCTACCCACTGGAAAAGTATACCTTCGAGGTATTATAGAAACTGGTTATGGAGCTCAAAAGGAACAGCCTTTCAAAGAAGGCCCAGGTTTTCAGGACCAGACTGTACGATTGAACAGTTTTCCAGTTATGATGTGGGAACAACATGTTTACCTCTTCGAATATGTACCATCCTTTCTTTTAAGCCAGCACTGGTAAAGTTGCAGTACATAGTGAAACTTATTTTTCTGGCACTTTTCAACTTGGGGCCTTTATTACTGCAGTTTTCACTTTTCAAGCCATGGCTCTTTTAAAAAAAAAATTCAAACTTTGAATGTCCATTTTTCTCAATGGAAATGGTGCCTTGCACCAATTTCACCAGTTTGCAATTTTTTTCCCAAGGTGCACCACTACAAACAGATTGCATCGTCTAGTATTAGTGGTTGTGATGTTTAGTGATAGAAGCAAGCCAATACTAATCAGTTTAGGTCTCTTGGTTTTGTGCCTGTGGGTTATAATGTTATTTTAAGTCTCTTCTTTGTGTCATTTTAATAATTACACCCCTGTTGCCATATTACCTTATGGCTCTTACATTTAAAAAACTATTTTTTACATAAGCGCGATGTCATAAGGCCCCACAATGTTGAATTCAGGTTACAGAAGATAACTTTGAGGAATGTTGTGGAATGTTTTTCAAGAGATGCATTGTACAAATATGACTCATGTATATTTTGGAAGCCTGAATTGAAAGTCCATTTTTACAACTGTGTAGTATTTTCAAAAATACAGGTCATTGTTCAAAAATGTTTTGCTTATTTCTTTGATTGAGAGAAAGTGTACAGTACATACAGTAAGATCAGCCTTAATTTAGTTTTATTTATTGAACACTCAATTATATATTAGATTATATATTAGAAATTTGTTATAAAATAAAATAAGCTTACCATAAAATAATCTTGTCAATATAACATATAGTAGTCCAATACAATTAACACAAAAAGTTCATGTCTGATAAACAAGTGGTTTCTATAAATATTTGACCGGAATGAAAAACATAACAACAACATAAAAAAGTCATGTTCGTGTTACCAGAAAAATGTGTGCAGGTATAACATAAAAAACTAAGGTTAACCAAACATAACTTAATTTCGTGCAACCGCTTACAATAATTTTTTTATGTTTATCCCACTGATTATTTTTTTCAGTGTACGAGACCAGGGAGGCAAACTGAAACACTCACATAAGACGCAGACCTTCACAATAAAACAGGAACACACGGGGGGGAAACAGGGTAAACACCAATTAGAGAACAGAACCAAAATCGCGAAGAGAAAACACAAAACGCTGGGTCAAAAGGACCCAGGATCATGACAATAACTAACATTGAACATATATGTACCAGAGGTGGAACACAACATTTCTATCTTACAACATCACACATCGAACGAGGGAAAGGTAAAACAGTGACAAACTGTATTTTTAGTATCGGTGCAGTATTCACTGTTCTGAATATCTAAATTAATGTTAATGGTGTAACATGTAAAAGCTTTACAAGATCACATTCAATGTTTATGTTTATGCTTTTCATGTAACATGTGGAAGAACATGGATTGTGAGTAAGGAGTCAAAATACAAAGTGCTTTATGAGTGGAAACAAAACACAAAACTATTGAGTTCTTCACAAGCAAATGGAAAAATCATGAATATGATGAAAGACACACTAATACTTACATAGCTAAAAATAAGGTCTTATATAGTCACTGAAAAAAGTGATATTGGCTCCTTTTAGATATAGCATATTTTATTTTGGTATATCTTTTTAATTCAAATGAGTAATTCCTGTCTACATATATAATTCGAGTAACTCCAGAATACATTCCCTGCGTTTTAATCCAATTAATTTTAGTTAACACATTGAACAGTCACAGCTTGCAAATAGACCAGTCAGTCATTGAAGAACTTGCATCTGCACTGTGTACATCTAATCCTGTGTATAAATCGGTAGGTAAAGGCTGTCCCCTAGCAACATCCTTTAAGCGCAAAAATTTCTACAAGGAAATTTTAAAGTTGTAGAGCCTGCAGAGTATGTGTTGGATGTTCCAGTTTTAAAGGTTTTACAGCAGCTTTTCAGTGATTGCCACGTTCTTGCTAAGGTTTTGGATGGTAGTCGCCTAACAGAACAAAGTGGGGAAGAAGTGATTTACAGGTCTTTTAGGGAGGGGTTGTTTTTCAAAGAAAACAGTTTTTTATCAGCAGGTGAATTGCGAGTTTTACTGAATTTGTATATTGACGATTTTGAGATTTGCAATCCACTTGGCACTTCCCGTAAAAAGCACAAAATCTGTGCCATATATTGGACTCTTAGCAATTTACCACCTGCTTGCCATTCATCACTGACTTCCATTTATCTGGCTTTACTCTGCAAGTCTGAAGATGTAAAGACATATGGATATGAAAAGATTCTAGAGCCCTTGTTGAGTGATCTTGTTACTTTGGAAAGTCAAGGGATTTTTATTGCACATCTTGGAGAATTTGTCAGGGGCACAATACAGTGTGTCATAGCAGATAATTTAGGAGCACACAGTATTTCTGGATTTATTGAGAGTTTTTCAGGTGAATACTTTTGCAGATTTTGTGAGGCCAAGAAACAGAGGTTAGTTCAGGTGTGTTTACTCTGAGAAGCAAAGAGACACATGAAATGCATGTAAGTTCTGCACAGAGTAATGCAAAACCATGTCACGGTGTTAAAAGACGGTGTGTTTTCTCTGCACATCTCTCCCATTTCAGTGTTTGCAGTGGATATCCTCCAGATATTGCATATGACATATTTGAGGGCATATTACCAGTTGAGTTGGCATACTGCCTAAATATCTTAATTTTGAAAAAATATTTTACACTTGACAGCCTCAATGAGTCCATTCTGACATTTCCCTACAAATGGGCAGACAAGAGTAATCGCCCTCATGCTATTCCCAGGACTTTCATGCAGAACAAAAGCATTGGAGGAAATGCTCATGAAAATTGGAGTCTCTTACGATTCCTTCCATTGTTTGTAGGACACTTGGTACCTCCAGATGAAACAGCTTGGCAGGTAATTTTGGACCTAAAGGACATTGTTGAACTAGTTGTTGCACCAGTACACACAGAACAATCAATTGCTTTCCTTGAGTCTAGAGTCTCTGACCACAGATGTAGGTTGAAAGAGCTGTTTCCAGGACTGAAGCTGTTACCAAAACATCGTTTTGTGGAGCATTATCCACAGATGATTAAATTCTTTGGGCCACTTGTTGGCATGTGGACCATGAGGTTCGAGGCAAAGCACAGTTTTTTCAAACAGGTTGTTTGTCACACACGGTGCTTTAAAAATGTGCTACTGTCACTGGCAGTGAAACATCAGTTCATGATGGCATACCACTTGGAGTCTGCCACAACGGTAACTCTCAAGCTCCCTAATACAATTATCTATCCATCCATCCTTTTCAGGGTCGCGGGGGGCACTGGAGCCTATCCCAGCTGTCATAGGGCGAGAGGCGGGGTACACCCTGGACAGGTCGCCAGTCTGTCGCAGGGCCAACACACAGGGACAGACAACTATTCACATATAGGCAAAGTATTTTCATTTTTTTTCTCCTAATATCTTTAAAAATCAGATTGAAGAATGGCAGAGCAGCTGAAGCTGAGAGTCATCGTGGCAGATGATGATTTTAGGAGACTTGACGTTCCATCTGGGATGCCAAGAACTTTGACTGATCTTCAGAGCACAATTTGCCAAGCATTTGGAATTGAAAGAGACTTTCGTATTCAATTCATGGATCCTGACTTCAATAATGAGTTTATGAACATAACATCAATGCAAGACATTCAAGACCGAAGTACAATCAAACTTGTGTACATGGCAAATCTGGATACAAGTGCATCTTTGTCAAAGCAGTATCCCACATGCAGTCTTGACTCCTCTGCAAGTCCAGAAAGTATTCAAAGAAACTCCAGTCTCTCATCGTCTTCATCCAACTCAGACAGCACCATAATTCTACCACAGTCAGACAGTGAGCTGAGATCATGTGCATGGCCTCGCGAGTTTACTATTCCTCGATTTTCATTCAATGTAGAGGTGCAACTTCAGCGTGGAAATGAGACCTTCAGAGAAACTGGAACTCGGCTCAAGATTACTCCAGGTGTTAAATCTGACATCTTAGAGACGCTAGCTGAGGCGATTTTTCAGTTTACTGCTTATCCTCAAAATTACCAAATAGATGAAGTTGCAGGGGCACTGATCAAAAAATTTCCTTGTCTGCGAGAGCCATCTACCACAGGTTACTATGGCTGGATGATTAGCCTGAAATATAAGATGGCTAATTACAGGACAAAGATGCGCAACATTGGCTGTCCTGAAGTGACTATAAATGCTTTGAAAAACAAATCCAGTGATGATTGCCTCCCAGCCAAAAATGTTAAGAAACCTAAAAAGGCTGAGGTCAATTTTTGTCCATTACACCCAGCTGGCGAAACGGATGACAGTCTAGAAAACATCAGGGTTGAGCTTTTGACCGACATCAGACGAAGAAACGGTGCCTCAGATGTAAGACAGAAGATGTCAAGAACATTTTCCTACCGTAGACAAGAGGTGGTGCAGGGAAGTCCAACTGCTGGGGAGTTTAAAGCTAGGTGGCCTGCACTTTTCCAGATTAATGAGGTAAAGGCATGCTTTTTTTTGCTGAGTGTTCTTTTCAGTAATTCCTTATGTTATACATTAATTAATCTGGGCCACTTGGATTAAGACGATCCCTAATATAGGTATAAAGAGGCTGGCATTTATAGTGATTGACCTGTGTACCGTACAGAGTATTTATTTGAGCAGCACTTAAAATACAAGTTGTGTATGAAAAACACAAGTGACTTAAAGTGTAGAAACATGAATAAAATAAATTTTTGATTTTTCTTATAATGCAAAAATCCTAAACTCGTAACTCTTTAAGACATCCAGGATAAGAGATAAAAAAAACTTGCAAAAGTGAAATGAAAAAAAGGAATTTAGTTGGTGTGAGTTAAGAGGATGCAGAGCGTAGGGTTAGATGGAGGTGGATCATTCACTGTGGTGATCCCTGAAGGAAAGAGCCAAGAGAAAGAGGATCAGAGAGCAAACAAATTGAGGTTTGTGTGCATACATGAGTCTTTACGGTACCCACAGAACCTCTGAAGTACAACCACAGATGAGCTTTAACAGCAGGTATCACACGTATTTATAGTCTATGGTCACACATGGGTAATGTTCGTTTCTCAATTCTGTTACAGCTAAATTGTTGGTGTAAATTAAAAAGGTTTCAGAAAGTAGAAAATGAGAGCCTTTCAATTGGGGTACCATATGATACACTAGATACCAGAGTAAATGTACACTGTGTGACCATCAGCAGCTTAGAGTAGTGACAGTCACAGTTTTGCAGAGCAATTTCAGAGATGTTTGGGGCTTACATGGCAAGCATGTTTTTAGTTGCACATCTAAATTTTCTCTGCTCTCTGTTGCTGACGGCAGAGTTCTGCCCCGCTGACCTCACAGGTGAGACACTCCCACCAGTGGACAAAGAGCACAGGAAAATGTGTTGCCAACCACCTGAAACAGACAAATATCTGCTTTTTAAAACCCTTTAAACCCGTTAAATGGACTGATGCCATTCATTTCTTCTTTGATTAACAGTAGTAACATCCTTCATGCACTGTATACTAACCCATATGCTAATCATGCTTTATGAAGTGATGGCAATTACATTGTAGCATTTAATGAAGAAATAACAAAATAATCATACCAATGATTAAGCACCAGTCTTCTTTTTTTCTGTGTGTGTGTGGTGTGTGTGTGATACAGGTAAATGCTGAATTCCAGTGTATTACAACACTTCAACTGGAGACGACCTTCGCGGCACAGTCAGAATGATCACTCTCTGGAGAGCTTTTTGGTCCTTCACACAGCTGTTCCCAAACCACGATGTGATGTTCTGTGTGAGGATGCTCTCTCTCTAATCTAATCTAATCTAATCTAATCTAATCTAATCTAATCTAATCTAATCTAATCTAATCTAATCTAACAACTTTAATCTCATGAAGAAATAAAACACTGAAAAAAGCCAAACTAACATTTTTAAGTTATCCAAGTGACTTATCTATCATGTTTAACCTGAGTAGCGAAAGACCGCGGTGATCTGAAAACGATGTGCCTGGAGTTTTCCGTTCTCAGCGGCTCTCAGCTAGCTATCAAGCTGATGGGTAGCAGATGTCTCCAAAACCATCGGACCACTTTTGCAAATATGCGATATCTTGATAAACCGAGCAGATAGAAGTTTCCAGCTATATTCTCGCCTGAAAATATGTTAAAAGTTTATTTTGTGACCCAGAAAGATTAATAAGAGTAATATTAAAACTTAGTAGCGGTCGCCATTGTTGAAAACTGGAATTGGCTGGGCCACGCTATGAATTCTGGGATACGGTGGGCCATGAAGGACACACCCGACCCGGGTCTGACATCATCACGTAGAAGTCAATGCCACAGGTCTGTAAACCTGGGTCCACTGGGATGTGCAAAGGTGTCACGTCCCAGTGGACCCATGTGGAGAAAGAAGGAGAAAGAGTGGCGTGGAAAGCAGGCTGACTACAGTTAAGCCAACATGGGGGTTAGCATTCACTGCAGTGTCGAAGAACAAATTTAGCTCACTGGGTCTCTCCTCACTGCCCTCCACTCCTCTGCTGTTGGATGGCCTGAATCCAGTGATGGTCTTCTTGCCACTCCACACCTCTCTCGTGCTGTTCTGCTGGAGTTTCTACTCCAGCTTCCTGTAACTGTCCTTAGCCTCTCTGATCTAACCCCCCAGTAACACCTGAACCTTTCTCACTTCCTCTCTATCGCTCTGAAGGCCCTCCTCTTGTCGTTGAGGATGGCTTTGATGCTTTTAGTCACCCATGGCTTGTTATTTGGGTAATAATAGACAGTCTGAGATGGGACAATGGAGTCAGTGCAGGTTATGTAACCACTAAGGCCTCCTTGACCACCGACTAATACTAATAGTGGTCAAAGGCTCCCTCTTCACAATAGGCCCACAGCAGGGGGTGAGGTGAATCAGTGGTGTGAGGAAGGAGGAACTGTATGCAACCCTGAAATTAACATACCGAAGGTCAAAAATTCTCTCCCCCCTGGTGGGACAAACCACATACTGTGTTGGCAGTGTAATGTCCAAGTTGACATAGTTGATGTCAACCGAGATAGCAATGAAGGCACGCAGGTGCTGAGTCTGTGACTGGGCTATGGCAGAGAGAATAGTATCAGATGCAGCTGTTGGGATAGCAGAGAGAGGAACATAGACACCAAGATCACATGGGTAAATTCCCAGGGAAAGTCCAACAGCACACAGTGCAATGTCCGGGCCACAAATTCACTCTTTGATTGTTATGTGAGCAGGGTTACACCACCGGTAGTTAACACGAATAGTTAAACCCTCTCCTTTCTCCTTTCTGCTTACCGCCCGTGACACTGTACCTGTTGGCCCAAACAGCGTGGAAGCCATCCACAGATGTGTTGTCATCTTAATAATATCCTGGTGCTTCTATGCATTGGTGAAGCACATCAAGCTACACTCCGAAAGTTCCCGTTGACTCCAGGCTAGCATTGTTAACTCATATGTCTTGTTTGCTAGCCACTGGATATTCCCGATTATAATACATGACAGATATGAATTATAGCTCCTCCTCCTTTAGGCCTCAGGTGTCTCGCCGTCCCCCTCCTTGTCCTCTTCTGTCCCCACTTCTGAATCCACAGTGTATTTCTGTGGGTCTGGTCAACAAGCCGGCTGGCATCAGGGCGATCAGCTGATCTATGGAGACAAAGCATGGAGTGTGTAGCTGCTGCACCGCAGTCCCATTCGGTAATGAAAGCAATAGTTTTGTGGAAACAAGGAGAACAAAAACTCTCTTATCCCACCTGTTTGAAAGACAACTGTATAAACAAATAAACAATAATGCTCTAAATAATAAATAATTAGTAAAAGACAAAGAAAAAAGTTAGGAAAGGTTAAAGTATAGGAAAAAAAGAGCAAATGAAACAGGTTGCATGCTAGTTGTTGCAAGCGCACTGACATTGAAGGTCAAGTTACAATACTTAACTCGGGACTCCTGTCCCCCATGGTTGGGTATATTTTTGTGAAGTATGAAGACGATCCATAAAAAAATTGTTGGTAATGTAAAATTTTCACAGTTGCAGTGACCTTGATGTTGACTAACACAAAGTTTGAAAGTTATATATTGAAAATTGTAAATGTCAATGCTAGTTAAAGCTAGCTCAAATTGATCATCCGTCTGATCATCCGTGTTTCCACCAAAGATTTGCCTTTGGTTTCCTCAATCTGTTTGTGACGCTTCATGTGGGTCGGTCTTGCAATTAATTTTGGAACCTTGCTCCAAACTGTGGAGGACCACAAGAGCCACGTGCATCCAAATAAAGCATTCTGTGCTTAAATAATGAATTGTAGAATAAATTCTGCATTTGTAAATTCATTTTTGAATTCCAATTTAGTAAACTGATTTTTAAAATGCTTTTAAAAAACTTCATTTCCCTTTCCTGTTCGCCCTGGATTTTTTAGTTCATAGCTTCGCCTTGCTAAGCTAAGAAGCGTGTGTGCTCGTACAAAGGCCGTTCAGCCTCAGGATTTACACTAGGCTCGACACGGTTAGAAGAATGAAGGGACCCTGCAGCAAAACGGAGAGCGCAACCTCTGACTGAGTGCCTGTTTACTCAGTCTGATCACCTGTTGAAGGTAACGTGCTAGCATGGCTAACACTAGCATCACCGCACGTAGCCCCGTTATCTTAGCTTATGAAAATATTACCTCCCAGCTGTACGAGCTCGCTACGTGTTTTGTAAGCTGCTGTGCTCTTCACAAATAAAGCTGGAAGCAGCTCAGACTATTAGAACCAGCACTGAGGCCTGTTACATTTATACAGTGTTAGAGCAACGGCTGCAGCCTACAGCCTTTAAACTAGCGATTAAAATGCTGACAGTAAACTCGTCAGTCCAGATGTTACCACATTACTTTGTGATACTTAGAGATAAAACAACTCATCATCATCCCACGGTGTGGCTAATTTCAATAGCAGCAGGATTTTTAAAATGAAGGTGTTAATCCAACTGCTAATCCAAATGTTAATCCCTGAGCAAACAGGAAAGGGAAGTGGATTTTGACATGAGAAGTAGAATCACCATTTCATTTTATAAAACTTTTTGAAAATCACTTTATTAAAGTGGAATTCGAAAAAGGTTTTTTAAAATCACTTTATTAAATTGGAATTCAAAAATGAATTTACAAATGCAGAATTTATTCTACAATTCATTATTTAAGCACTGAATGCTTTATTTCAATGTGTGTGGCTCTTGTGGTCCTCCGTACCAAACAGTTGAGGTTTCCAGTTCAAATTAGCACCTCCAGATTCTGATTCTGATTGGTGTATCCACTGATCATGAGTGAGGTCTATGAGGCACACATAAATAAATGACTGCAGCTACTGAAACAGAAAACAAAAGTAGAGTAAAAGTAGCGAGATCACTCATTGCACTTGCACACTGCTTCTGGTTGACAATTTATCAGAGAATTAAAAAAAAAGACATAAGCATAACCGATTGCACTGAACTACTTGTATAGGACTATCTTTATCTTCTGGATTTGTGGGGTCTGGCTAACTAACTATAATCTATATGTCTTCTTCTCAGTGTGCTGAAAATCTGCTGACTAAAATCCTTTCTCCACTGAGCAATGGGGTAATTCTAGCTGTAACATCATAACTGTAACTGTCCTTCATCCAAGTGGAGACTTTCTGGACATTCTCCTTTATCATTTGATTAGCTTTTCTTAGTTGCTCATGAAGTCTCTTGAGCAACTACCCAGCTATTCAGAGCTCTTTGTGTATCTATGGACATTTCAACCAATAGACTATATTGGTCGATAGGAAACTCTATAGTCGATTGTATTGTAATCTATAGATACACGGACAGTTATTATAGATCTGAAGTAGTTCTTTTATGTCTGAAATACAAGCAGCAGAAATGGACTTCCTCCAAAGGGTGGCTGTGCTCAGAGATAGGGTGAAGAGCTTTGCCATTTGGGAGGAGTTTGGTGTAGAGCCACTATATCTACATCAAAAGCAGCCAGTTAAAGTGGTTCAAACATGTGATGAGAATATCTCTGAGGGGCCTCCCAGGTGAGGTGTTTTGGGCATCTGCTTACAGGAGGAGGGCCCAGGGTAGACCCATGATAGAGTGGAGAGATTACATCTCTTGCTTGGATTGGGAATGGTTTGGTGTCCCCCCCAGAAGACCTGAAGGAGGTGACTAATGAGAGGTTGGTTTGGGTCTCTACCTCTACCTCCCATTCCATTTTAAATAACCTAGGAACCAAAGTAAGCCTGCATTCTGAAGTCCTCTAATGGAGTGATACGAAACTATAAGGTCATTAAGATTAGATGAACCCTGATTATTCAAAACCTCTTATGTGATGATAATGGGAAACTCACAGAGAAACTCGCGGATTCTTCCACTGACCACACCTGCACCAGGGTAAACCTCCGCCTACCCCACTCCTGCTTTACAGGTGAAAACAGAGCAACAGGACCGCTGAGTCTGTGACTTTATTTATTTTCTGCTGTGTTTTACTTGCATCTGAAAGACTGAGTGTAAACACAAAAAATATATATATTTTATTTTATGTGCTGGAATGTGCAGAAAATAGGTTTAAATGTTAAACTAATTTCTTCCAGTCAGAGAATGTTGCATATAATTAAATTTGTGCTTGATGCATAAAGTTAAAAGATTAAAACTGATAAAACAAGTTTTAAAAAGAGACTTTTCCATTTGATTACATTTTGTATGATGGATTATGCAGAAAAAGTAGAATTAGG